ACAGAATCTCATTTCTTATTTTTTACCCTTAATGATAGCCTCTCCAGATTTTCCTGTTGCTTGTTCATTGATTTGCCATTTCATTACCTCTAATAATTTAGAATGGCATGTAAATTTGCATATTTTATTTCTTGTATTTTTTTCGTATCATTTAACCTTTAAGGTAAAGAAATGGTAAGATACTGAAGTTCTAGATAGAATTTACTGGGTCCAATATTGGTAGCTTGATATGCTCCTGTTAGGACATTATTAATGTATATAGTATAATTAATTTTATAGGAGGGTTTTCTGCATCTGTTGTTAAACACATTTTATAAAATGATAATTAGTACAAGGATCAAGAGATGATGTCATTATGAAAAGGTCTGAGGTCAAGCTAAGGCTTTTCTGTAGAATTTTTTTTTAAAGAAATGATTTCATGTTGTGGAGTCGTGGAAATTAAAATTTTTATTAAAGTTGAAAAATTTTGTTTAATACAAAGTGCTGTAAAATTGTAATAATAAGAATGAAACAAGTTATTAGAGTGCTCAGCTGATAAAGATTAACTGTATTCTCAGTTTATATTCTCCCACCTCATTGCCTTCCCAAAGCATTTTTTGAGGGGTGAGAATTAAAAGTAGGTCAGTTGAGGTTAAGAATTGTTTACTGAAGTCTAGCGAACTCCCCAGAGACAATCCCTGTAGCCAGGGGCATAATTTCTCAAGCCACTGAGGGCTAGGCCAGAGCAATTAATGACTCATAATGCCCATTCACAGCAATCTTTTATTTTATACAAGCAAAATTATTTGTGCTATTTCAGTTACTTTGACCAAACCTTTCGGTTATTTTGCTAAATTTTCAGCATGCTGTGCATATAATAAGGATAAATAAAATGTTACTAAAGTATAGAGGACAGAAAAATCACATGAATTTTACTGTGAACTTTCCCTTGCCTATGAAAAATGATTATCCACTAAATGAGCCATCAAAATAATATGAGTAATGCAGACTGCAGTCCTGTTGCAAAGGAGGTTGATAATTTTGAAAGCATGGTGTGGGGATAGGTTAGTGATAGTACAGTTATATTGGCTTAGAAATGCAACTGAGGTAGACTCAGAGTGGAGACAATTTTTGACATAAGTGTCTGAAGGATAGGCAAAAAAAAAAAAGAAAAAAAGACCTAGGAGAGTGTCAAGCTAAGTAGCATTTTAGAAAATGTGGGAAAGCCCATTAAGTAATCTGAAAATTTTATTGTTTATATTATCATTTTTATTTTCACCTAACAGTGTTCTTTGGGGGAAATATTTTGAGAGCTAAATGATCTTTTTTCTTTATATGTTATCTGGAAAGGAAGACAACCTGAGCAGGTGGTTGGGATTCATGTGTGTTTTAATATATCTCCCAGAGAATGTAGGTTCATGGGGGGAACGTTCCATTTGATTTACTAACTTGAAATTATCTGCCTTAAAAGCTTTTTTTGTTGTTACTAATACAGATTAGAACTGATTTCCTAAGCCACAGTTACTTGAGCTGATCTAAACCTTGAGTCCTTCATATGTAATTCATTGATGGTCTGTCTTTGATTGCGCTTTATCCATATAACTTCTCAAGATGGCAATGAGCATTGGATAAAACTGTAGTTGTTTTATAGTCTTTGTAGTGCTTCTAGCTGTTGATGTTTGTATAGGAACAGTTGGTCTACAGAGCCTATCCTGATTTTTTTAAATGATAAAAGTATTCTTATTGCAGCAACTTGTTAAGTTGATTATTTATTCCACTTCAGAGATGAGGAGACTGAAGGACAAATAGATGGAAGTGATTTATCCAAATCCTTACAGCTAGTAAGTAGAATTGTTCCTACATACCTGCATATAGTTAAGCCTGTGTCCTTTCTCCTGTGTGTCAAGTTGCTTGAGCCTTAAATTTGTGGTTTTCATGGTCTTGATATTTGTGAGTACAGTAGCTTTTGCTAAAAGGATTTCATTTATTGTGAGATCCTTCAGAAGTCCTTTTCTGTAACAAAGATTGAAGCAATAACGTGTGCCTGTTTTGCTTTGTTTCCAAATTTTTATAACCTCTTACACTTTTCCTGTAACCTTTAAAAATTTGATTCGGTGCTTACCAGGTAGCGTCGCTGTCGCCCACCTGTGTGAGATTGGAGTGGGCGGAGCCCGTGATGTCAAGGACTAATGCCCTCATAGGGCTGCACGCCTCTTATGAAATCTGTGTGTGGTGAGCAGATGGTCTCCTCTGCTTCTCTCGAGGAGGACTCACTGTCATCACCACCTCATCATCATTTCTAAGTCTCAAGCTTATACTAGGGACTATGGCCAATTTTTTTTGCTCTAGTTATTATTTATCATGGGGTTAGAGGATCCTCTCTTCTGGTAATATCCGAACTGCATTCCAGGCCCTGACCTGGTGGCATAGAATTAATAGTGTAGGCTGTCATTCAGACTCTGATCCTGCTTCTTCTTTAACCATGTGACCTTGAGCTCACTCTATGACTCAATTTAACCTCTGTCTTTGAAATGGGGATTAGTCCTTAACTACACTGAGTTGTTGTGGAGACTAAACTAAATATTACATATTAAGCATTTAGAAGAGTGTCTATCACAAGGGAGGCTGTGCCTAAATGTTAGCTACTATTATTATTGTTACTTATTTGATGAAGGTTCTTAGTTTTAATAGTTGCTGTGTAGGTGGGTCACAGCTTCTTTGGATAGCCCAGCTCATAGTTTTTTCATTTGGGAAAAGCAAAACCTTCTAGCTAGAGTGTTCTCCTCTTTTTGTGGTGGATTCCTGATGTTCCCAGGTGGGACTGGGCAGAAGTCTCTGGGCTTTAATCTCCTGCTGCCAGGGCACAGGGCCGAGCAGCGGTACAGCTCGTGATAGCTTTTGTGGTCACCTTGGTAGCTCGTTGCCCATGGCCATCATGACATGTTGAATATACGTTCTCACTGTAATGTTTCTAGTTCTGCTGCAGCTCCCACAAGACTGTTCTTGCTTGTTGTAGCCTGGTTAATGTGGTTTCCTCCCTCTTGTTTCCATCAGGAACAGCTTGCAGTCAGAATGAGGAAAGGAAGCAAATACAACTTGACATTTAATCATTTTCTCTTAGTTGTCCAAAGGGAGTATTTAGTGTGATGCTTCAGTTGAAATAGAATTTGTCTCTATGTGAAAGAATACACTAAGTAGGTCAGAGGCGGACTGAGAAAGGAAAAGTCCAGTGGCCGTTCTTCCAGCAAATATGTTTTGAGGGTCCTACCAAGTGCTAAGCATGGGGTTATATCAGTGAAAAAAAACAGAAAAATCCCTGCCATTATGGAGCTTACAGTCTAGACACAGACACAGATAAAACATAAATTGCATAGTATGTCGGTGATCATGTCACATTTCTCAGAACCTTTACCCGCATACCGTTTTGCTCACATTAAAAGCCAGAGTCCTTACAGTGGCCTAGAAGGCCCCACGGGATCTACTGTCCGCTCTCCCCTCTTACCTTTCTGGCCTTGTTACCAGTCATTGTTCCCAGATTCTCACTGGTCTCCCTTGGACATGCCAGGCACACTTCTTTCTTATGGCTCTTATTCTGGCTACTTCCTCTACCTGGAATGTTCTTCCCCATGACAAGTCCTTTCAGCTAACTTCCTCGTGTCCTTTGTGTCTTAGTGTTGCCTTTTCAGTGAGGCCCACCCTGACCAACCTTCTCAAATTACAACATACCACCTTCCCAACAATCCTGACCCCCTTTCTTCTGCTCTAATTTTTCCTGTAGTACTAATGATTTTTAACATATAATTTATTTACTTGTAAGGTAAGTTTTATGGGGTCGGGGATCTTCATTTTGTTTACTGAAGTTTATTAAGTGCTTACCTAGACCAGTAGTTGGTACATACTAGATATTCAATTCAGTAAACATATTGAATGAAATAATAAGTACTGTGGAAAAGATAAAGGGTCGTATTAGTTTCTTTTGGCTGTTGTAACAAATGAACAAAACCTTGGTGGTTTAAAAGAACAGAAATTTATTCTCTCACAGTTCTGGAGAGCAGAAGTCCAAAATCAAGGTGTCAGCAAGACGTCAATCCCCCACCCCGCAAAGACTCCAGGGGAGAATCCATTCTTTGCCATTTCCACCTTCTGGTGGCTCCAAGTGTTCTTTGGCTTGTAACCACATCATCCAGTCTCTGCCTTCATGGTCCCATCACCTTCTTCTCTTCTACCTCAAAACCTCCTCTACCTCTCTCTTAAGGATACATGCAGTTGTACTGAGGGCCTGCCTGGATAATCCAGGATAAGTGTCTGTTCTCCTTAAGATCCTGAACTTAATCACATTTTTTGTCATATAAGATAATATTCACAGATTCTGGGGATTAGGACATGGATGTATATTTTTGGGACTACCATTCAGCCCACTACAAAAGGTTAAGGGAATCCTTTGGTTACAAGAGGAAGAACTGTCCCTGGTGTACCACCTAGTAGAACACTGACAATGGAAGGAAAGTGAGAAGACTGCTCTCATCTTTTTTTCCGATTTTTACTGAAATTTTTTATTGAGACCTCATTATTTTTTTCAAATGAAAAAACACATGTGCATAGACTAACAGAAGAATACAAAGGATAATACTGTAATCTCCATGTATCAGTCTCCCTAGTAGTTAACATAGTGATATAGTTGCTTCGTATTTTCTCTTGCCCCTCTTATAAGGAATAAAACTCCTACATTGTAGGAGATTACTGATATCACTAAACCTGATGAAATCATCTGTGCTCTTTGGACCTGTCTCCTATGCTAGGTTACTGTAAGCACTCTCCAGGCAGGGACAGTTTCCCACTTTTTTGTACTCATAGTTGGTTCGATTTTGTAGCAAGTGAATACTCCATTGGTTTATATTTGGTCTAACAGTTCTATCTGCATAATATGTCTGGTCCCAAATGGGATGATCTTATTTCTGTCCATAGAAAGTAGTTATAAATGGATGGTATTAAAATTAAACTATTTTTTTATCCCCCTCTAGGTTGCATCTCAGCGCATTAGCTCAGTGGACCTCTCGTGTTGTAGCCTGGAACATCTGCCTGCCAATCTCTTCTACAGCCAAGACCTCACTCATCTCAATTTGAAACAAAACTTCCTAAGGCAAAACCCCAGCCTTCCAGCTGCCAGAGGGCTCAATGAACTGCAAAGGTGAGCCTGCTGGCATGGGTAGAGGGTTAGCTTCTGGTTGCTGTCTCTTGAATGTTCGGACTACAAAGCCTATGGTGTGTAAACTTTTTCTTTCAGAAAGCAGGGTAGTAAGACTTTATCAATGAGGCAGTTATTTTATTAATTCTCATTCTGAAATTTTTTTTCAAGGTTCCCACCTTTGAAATTAATGATTTATGATATTTATTAACGGGATAGATTTGTGTAAAAACATTTCTCTTTAAATGACGTTTATTCCTTAGCCTATCTAGAAATGTATCTGTGAAAAGTTAATAACATTTGGCATGTTACTTCTGAACTTCAGGGGTTTGTTCAGATTAAATTATTTCTTTAGAAATTTATAAAAGGTCATTTTTTTTCCATGGAAAGACATTTTCTCAGAAATTTAGGAACCAAGGTTAAAGTCTGTTAATACCACATCATCTGGGTATTAGTGTGTAGGTTTCAGGAGTCACATGTTAAATAAATAGGATTTGCTCCTTTATAACTAGGGAGAAAGGACTTGACTTGCATGCTTCTAAAACAGATTTAAGAGTTTACTGTATTCATTTTCTTTCCTTTTTGAGCAAAGATCAGTCTTTATTCTGTGGTAAATTAAGCCTCTGGTACTTACATGTTTGTTGTAAATATATGACTGTAAAATAAATATGAAAATTGTGAGACTATGTAAAGAATATAACTTAAATAAATAATGGACAGTTTGTTTTTAAGTAAATGATTTGATCAGAGATTAAACTATGATAACTAGCCATTGTATTTATGGTTTTTAACATCCAGAAAGAATGATCCAATAATTGCTTGTAAAGTTTGTGTGTAATTGGAAAATAGTCTTTTCAGATGATTGTGAATATTCTTTGATGCTATACCAAACTCAACAAGTGGTCATTTCTGAAGTGTTAGTTCTAATATGGAATCTAAAACCCTATTGGTGAACTTTTTGAATTCTTTAATAATGAAGATCCACTAATCTGTGTTGTACTTTGAATCTCATTTTATTGCATTAAGTATTGGTCGTTTGGAAAATACTGGTTCATTGTGTGATAGAGATATTCCAAATGTCAACACATTTTGATATGCAGTTTCAAGAAATCACGTTTGTTGATATCACCACTGATCTCATTAAGTGTTGGGAAGTTGTTAAGCTCACTGTGGAAACAGGTTTCCTAATATTTTCATTTTCAGTTGAAAACCTGAAGGCTGTCATTGACAACAAATACTGTCTGTTGTTTTTCCTGAAACAACCTTCTCACTTTGTTTTTGAGAAAATATCCGCCAATTACTCAGTTATGAATAACAATAGTTTATCAGTTGTTCTTTTGAGTAAAAATGGTATTCCATGAAAATAGTGACTAATTTGGCTCACAACTAAATCATAGTGTGTTTTCCTTGAGATAACCATCATACTTTAGTATGCACCAGAAGAACTTTGCATGTACTTCCTCTTTATCACCCAGAAAATTAAAAAGATATGTACTCAAGAGTCGAGATGTTATAAAAAATAACTTTTCTGCATTATCAGGGACATTCTTAAGTAAGACCAGCATTACAGTTTTTTTTAAAGAACGTTTTTACTGTGATTGCCTGGCAGAGAAAAATACAGTGACAACTGGGACAGTTTGGTGCTGAAGTGTATTAACTACATAGGCAATAGAAACTCCAGTAAGGATATGGTGCTCAAGCAATTCCTTATTGTTCCCTGTAGCTGATTGGTACTGGGAAGGAAAATCACAGTGGGATTCTTGAACTTAGGTTTTCATATTCCCTATGGAATGATATTAATATTTGCACTGGCATTACTAAAATAAAGTTTAATATGATTTGTTTGCCAAAGGGTTACATCCTTATATTCTATTTTGAGATTTGAAATTATTTAAAAATATTTTTGTGTATTTCACAGAAGTGTAGACTTCTGTACTTCTATTACAGGACATCAAGAACTGTCTATCATACTGGAGAATCCTCGAATAGAACAGGGCATTAAAATTCATCCAAACTAATGCTGTCTTTTAGAGATGAGGTCTACAGGGATGTTAAATGTCAAATTGAGGGTAATGATTACCTTTTGGGGAGAGAGTTAAGAGGTGGAATTAGGGAATGGTTTGGAGAGGATTGCTAGCTGTATCTATAATCTTTATTTATTTACAAAGAAAAAGAAATTAGAGGCAAATGTGGCAAAAATGTTAATATTTGAAAAAGCTGAATAGTGGGTACTTGGATGATCATGATTGTTTTTTGTGTTTTTCTATGTGAGTATTTCATAGTAATCCAAAAGTTTAAAACCTAAACAAAAAGAAAATTAAAATACTTCTTATTGCATTGGGGAATATGATGTAACCAAAGAGCCAGTATTTGTGGAATAAAGAAGTATCCAGATGGAAAAATATTTTGGGCGTTAACCACTTTAGTAGGATTCAGGTCCTTCCTTGCCTGTTAGTTCTTTCAGAATCCTAATTCATCCCACATATCTATTGATTCTGTATCTATACCTTTTGTTTTTGTTTTGGCAGGTGGGGCACTATGGGGATCTGAACCCTTGACCTTGGTGTTACAACACCGTACTCTAACCAGCTGAGCTAACTGGCTAGCCCTGTATTTGTATCTTTTGAACCCATCCCCTTTTCTCCTCTACTACGCATGTGTTCTCCCACCAGCTGTCATACTTAAAGCACTTCTCAACTCTCACCTGGACTATTGGAATACCTTGGTGCATTGATCGTTTTGCTGTCGTTTTCCCAATGCAGTTCAGCCTGTATATCTTTCTTGCCTACTGTTTTGTATATTTCTTGGTTTTGTTTTATTTTGTATTTTTAAAGGTTTATTAAACTTTTTTTTCCCATAGAAGTAATATCCGATCTAGATTTTTTAAAAAATTAATAAGCAGAAAGCCTTAAACAATAGTGCCTGAAGCTCTAGCCCATCCCTATACCCACGCCCTGCTCCCCAGACAACCACTTTTGAGTCTTTTGGTTCTTTCTGCTATTTCTCTCCATCTTCCTAAATGCATATGACAATGTTTTTTCATTTTTCGTTATTGGATATTATATGTTGACTTATTACTATGGAAAGTAAGGATTTAGGTCTTTTACATTGTCTCACACTCCGTCTGGCCTACGCCGCATGCACAACTTTTCCTATCCTCTTAGTATACAGGTATTATATTAATTATTGGCCAAGTTGGTCTTCACAGTTTACCTTATTATGAGCCTGGAACTGATATTCATAGATAAGATACTTAAATGCAAAGATTACATTTCCTTTCTTGTGCTGGTTGAATAATAGCCTTTCTTTTTCACTTATTCTTTTCTTTTTCTTGAGTATTTGTAAGCTTTCTTACAGAACTGTAACATTTTTCTCAACACCTTTTTCTTAGAAACTTCTCTCCTGGAGCCAGTGTGGGTACTTGCTCTTTCAGACTACTACACAGCAAAGACAGTATGTGGATCTTTTCCCTAGGGTGTATCAGTTTTACTTGAGAGGAATCCTTTGGTCTTCTGCCTGGGCAATGCATGCCAAGTTTCAGGGAGCTGAGTGGGCAAGAGAGCTGGAATCTCAAGGTTTAGTGTATGGATTTTTATTTAATCCCGCTGTTTTCATAAGTGCTTCTGCTGTGCAGCCCAATGTCTTTGAACCAGGGACTCTCTGGTTCAGTTTCTTCCATGGAAGAAAACGTCTCCTTCTAGAATTGGAGAGAGGATCTGGGATCTAACTCCTCCTTATATAACCTATTGAAAGTCTTTCTATAGAAGTGTAACAAAAACATAGAAAAGGCACACATGTAAGTGTACAACTTGATGGGTTTCCACAAAGTGAACACATCCATGTAACCAGTACCTGAATTGAGAAATAGAATATTACCAGCACCGCAGAAGTTCTCCTTGTGCTCCTCTTATCCCAAAGATGATCACTATCCTGACTTCTAACACCATGACTTAGTTTTGCTTGTTTTTGTACTTGATGTAAATGGATCACACAGTATGTGCTCATGTTCATCTTCTTTCATTTACTTTTCTTTTTAAAAAGCAAAACAAAGCATACCAGATGATATATTATCAGCTTATACTTTATAGTGTGTGGTAAAAATTTATGGCTTTGATTTGTTTAAGATGGAAGATTTTTAAGTTTTATACTGCAATAAAACGTTTCTGTTTTGTACATTCTGTTGCTTTAAGCATGGAGGTAGGGTGGTGGGCCTAGGAGACTTGGTAGGTGGCATCTGAGTAACTGGTAAAGCTGCCATTGTGTTGTCCTTTGGGAAAGCCAGGCCTTAACCCATTTTCTTTCTTTTTTATCTAATGGCTGGCCAGTGCAGGGATCTGAAACCCTTGACCTTGGTGTCACAAGGCAGCGCTCTAACCAACTGAACTAACTGGCCAGCTCTGTTTTCTTTATTAACACAGACTAGTATGAGGTGTTTGTCTCCCACTCCTGTTATCTAAGAAAGATTTTATTGCCACTTTCAAAGTAATAAATTTATAAGTACACACACTACATACGTACATACATACATACATATGTGTGTGTGTATGTGTGTGTATATATATATTATTTAATGCCAGGAATTAAAATTATATATTAGAAAGTCATATTTATACTTCAGAAATGGTTACTGTACCTTTTTTATGTTCTTGAGGTTAGCGTGGTGGTTTTGAGATAGACCATATATTTAATTGCTTATTTTTGTGTGTTTAAGGAACTTGTGCTAATGAATCTCTAGTGTATGTTTCACAGGGAACATTTTAGAGAGGTACCAAAGGATAGCTTATTTTCATGTTTTTACCTAAGTCTCAAGGAATTAATTTTTAGATTACAGTGTTAGGGCAAATATCTAGGGAGAAGCTAAGTACAATGCAGTTATAACAGGAATTTTGAGACTTTATATGTTAAGCACATTATCCTCTTATTTTTTATTTCATTTTTTCCCACTGCAAATTTTCACCTTAAACAAATGAGCTGTTTTCACAGAACATTTAAATTGGTATTTG